TGTGAAGAGGATAAAGGCAAAGTTTTTTTCCTGCTCAGTTCAGTTCTCTGGAAAAAGATGGGTGTCTTCCACCCAATTCTGCAGGGCACTGTCCTTGCAGGGTGCTTGTTCCATCTTGAAATTTGCCTAGGATGAGTGCTGGAAAAGTGTAACCTGCTCACACTTAGTAATTGCCTGCCCTTGTAGAGGAAAAAGTGCATGAAGCAATGAGGAATTCCAGGATAGGATTCTTGGCACAGCATTTCTGCTAACTCCCATTGTTGAGCTGGAGGTAAAGTCAGGATTGCTGCTGTAGGAGCCAGAAGACACAACAGACGTTCTGGGATTTGCTTCTGTGATGGAGGTCTTGGCTTTGCTGTCTGTCTGCCTTTGTGCCCAATTCCTTCATGTGTTGCACTTCCAGAGGAGCAAAGAAAATCATGACCTTCCTTTGTACCTTTCAGAGCAGAAAGGATGACGCAAAACAGATAGATCTGGGGATAAGCACTTGACCTTTATTGTCTATCAACATGTTCATACACTTTCATTACCCAAATGTTACATTTGGGTTAATAATTAAAAAATAAAAAGAGTTTCTGCTGTCGTGATCACCAAGCCCTGAATGAACAAGTGAACCTCTGACTTGTTCAGAAAGGACGCCCTACCCAGAGCTCTTTGGTGTTTCTGTTCATGAGAAAGAGGCTGCAGCTCTGAAGGCACTTCTCCATGTTCCGTTACAGATAAGTGCTTTTTATTTTGCTTTCTCACAATTTCCTGTCTGGGGCTTATTGCACTTCCTGCTCCCTGCAGCGGAAGTAGATTGGTTCATGAACTTAGTAAAAGAAAATAGAATAAATGCAGCTTAGCAGGCTGCGTCCTTAGGTAGTTAGTAGGGCTGTGCATGGTCGTGAAGCACTTGGAAGGAGATACTAAATGTGGTACTTCAGAGTTACGTTGATCTCTAGTTGTAAAAGATAAGGATGAAACTCAGGGTAAAGCCACTCCATATCACTTTTCTGTAGGGTTGCAGTCTTTCTGTTGTGGCAGCTGTTGCTAACTGCCAGAGATCAGGTACTGCGAGCTGTGAACCCTAACACTGAGCATGCCTGCCACCTCTCTGAGATACTGTGCTTCAGGAGGGATCTATTTATGGAATGCTACAAGAATAGTCTTAAAATAAATAACACAAAGTGCTGTGGCTGGGATTCAAGGCTCATTTTCCTCGTCCTCTGAAGTACAATTGTGGGTAGAATCTCTTCAGCTATCACTGTATCTGTCTTTGTACTTCATTTATGGCTGTGCTGCTTCATTGCCCCTGCAGTGCAAATGGAGTTTTATACTTAAGTAGTCTCAGCCTTTGTTTTTGTTAATGACACTTCCAAGGTTGATCTCTTGGACTGTGCCCATTTCCTACATGCATTGATTTTAAAAAGGAAACAATTTTTGACTGACCAGAACAATAGTTCATTTTATTTCCAGCTTAGCCACCAGCTGAAAGCTGTTTGTTTGCTTGCTTGTTTTTCACAGCTATGACCATTTCTGTAAGATAAGGATACATTGGGAGGTTCATGCTTTGCTGTTTACTTGGGTGTGATGACCCCCAAATACATTTACTCGCTACAGTTTTTATAGTCCCTGGTGGAAAAGCTTGCAGACTCCCAAGCATCTGCAGGTGACAGGCTGTAGACAGTTGTGCTCAGGAGTAGAAGCTCTTTCTCTCCTCTGAGCCTTATTGCTCAGTGAATTCCTAGACCCAGAAGACAGCTTTTCCTATCATGCTCTGGGATTCTTCTTCTTGGAGCTGGTAGCTGGCACCAGGCAGTGCTCCTCACCTAGCACTGCACCTTGCTCCTCCCCGGCTTCTGGGGGTACTGCTGTTATCACACACAGAGCTGTTCAGTTCATGACAGTGACTGCAGGTAAGCCTGCAATTGTGTTATCCTCCATGCAGACATCAGATGAAATGCACAAGCAATTTCTTGTCCACAAACTGCGTTTTTGTTGCACAGAGGAATGTCTCTGCTGTTAAGTTAGTGGGCCGCAGTGGCAAACACTGAATTGAGCCTTTGTTCCTGTTCTCAGTGTTCTGAGTTTCTTTTTGTGAGAAGCCACCGTGGTTTTACTCTTGAGAGGGCAATATCCAAGCTCTGCTAGGCAGTTCCACTTGGTGGTATGATGGGGTGAGACAGCAAACTGAAGAATTCAAATCACTGACAATACTGCTCTGACGAGTCTTGTGAAATCTACCACATTAAGGCTTATCTCAGGACTTAATTTCACTTTTCTTTTTCTTCCTTAGGTGTGTAAAAGCATTGTTTACCCTTGTGGTTTAAAAGCTGTGTGCTATGAAGCAATTTCTGTGAGTTCCTTCACATAAAGTAAACAGTGCTGGGAATCTTTTGACAGCATTTTCCATTTTGTCTTGCATTTATGTCAGCAGTGCAGTACAAAAATGGTTTTAGGGTGCATCCAAAGGAGGGCTGCAAGGATGGAGAAAGGTCTGTAGACAAGGTGTGTGATGAGCGCAGAAGCCTCTGGGGTTGCTCAGCCCAGAGCAGAGGAGCTGAGGGAGGCCTCATGGCGGCTGCAGCAAAGGTTCTGCCCAGAGGGCGGTGGGCACGGCACCACTGCTGGAGTTCCACTGTCTTCTTTCCCCAAGGACTGGAAAAATCTGGCTCCAACCAGACCGCAGGCTACTTCAAGGTGCAGAGGTTCGCATGCCTGGTAGCGCAGAGGTGAAATATCCACAGGCACAACACCTCTCTTAGCTCAAGTTCATCCTTTTTTTGTCTGCCTGTATAAAACAGGTTGTACAGTCGTGACAACATTGCTTCTGTGCTGCAGGAAACTTCTGGACCTGACCTGCCGTCTTGCCAACACCCTGAAGAAATATGGGATACAGAAAGGAGACAAGGTTGCCATCTATATGTCCGCGTCTCCCCTGTCTGTGGCAGCCATGCTGGCTTGTGCCAGGATTGGTGCTGTTCACACCGTGGTCTTCGCAGGATTCAGTGCAGAGTCCTTAGCTGGAAGGATCATGGACTGTAAGTAGCTGCAGACCAAGGGGAACAAACCCCTTTGGTGCTGACACCCTCCAAAGCGTACTTTTGTCCAAATTTCATGTTTTCTTGGCAGAAAAGAACAGGTTCTTTCTTAGCTGGCTGGATAGTTCGTTTTCCTTTGCAAAGTACTGTGAAGAGCCTTTTCCTTAGTGGCAGTGTCATTTGGCTTTACTTTATAATATAATACTTTATAAATTGCTTAACATTCAGTCTGCTCTGGGTTACTTCCAGACAACGGTGAACCTGGTGGGAAAACCAGAGCTTAGGAATGTGCCCTGATTTGTTCTTTTGAAGCGTAGTTGAAGTGCTTCTCTGATCCCTGTGCAGAGTGCTTGCTCTGCAGTCCAGATTGTGATACTATGATTTATGTACAGCAAAGAAATGTTGGCAGTCTGCTCCCACTCCGCTAGACGTTGTACTGACGCAAAGAGCTGTTCTTAACCCAAAGCAGTTGTAGTGTGATTAAAAGGAATGCTGAAAATACAGCAGAAGAACAAAATTGCAAGTGGTTCATGTTCTAGCAGTTACATTAGCTTATTTACGACTAAACAGCCATTTTCATGTTTTTTTTATTGTTTGTTTGTTTTTTTAATTTATAGCAAATCTACTCAGAGTAAGCATGTTTTGGTTATCCCTCACTTTTGGCCACCTATATGGAGACAGTAGACTAAAGAACCACTTTTCTGTACCTTTCTATGGAGCTCTGTAATTAATGTAGTGTGACAGAGTTTGAAGCAGTCTGTCCGGGTGCTGCTGTGTGCTGTGTCTTCTAAGAGGTTTCCCAACAAGATACAGGTGGGTTTCAGAAAGCTGCAGGAGGATAACGCCTTTGAGAAGGTGCTGAGTATAGTGCTGTTCAATTTGGAACAGACAGTTATATGCAGCCCTAAAGAGAAGATGGCAAAGGGATAAGGGACATGGTTGCTCACTAAGGCCCACTGGAGTTGTTGGAAGCTTTGCACTGGTTTTAGCCTACAGAAGCTGTGAGCGTTTTTAATGTATGTAACTGGGAAGGATGTTGACTCTTGACAAGTAGAAACTGATGCATTTAAGTTAGACTGAATGATACTTAGCCAAGTGTTTGGAAGGACTTTCTCATACTCATAGCAGACGTTGGAGCAAACTGTTGGCAAAGTAGTAGAATACCCCACACTGAAGTGTTTTAGGCAGTTTAGACTGTCAGCAGTGTTTTAACAGGAACCAGCCTTGCTTTGCGGTGGAGAGGATGGGCTAAATAAGCTCTGGAGATTCCTGCTACACCTACTCTATGTGTGCCAGGTTTTAATGTGCTTTTATCAGTCACTGGTTTTGATTAATGTAAATTCTGAGTACATATTGAATACATCATCCCCCAAACTAATGATATCTAATTAATGAAAATTAATCTGTTCACCATGTACAGACTGGAAAACAGGTGATGTGTCTGCTGTTTCTCTCTCTTTTTAGCTGAATGCAAAGCAGTTATCACCTACAATCAGGGAGTCAGGGGAGGCAGAATCATAGAGCTGAAGATGACGGTGGATGAAGCTGTAAAGAACTGCCCAAGTGTCAAGCATGTCTTTGTGGCACAGAGGACAGATAACAAAACCCAGATGGGTGACCTTGACGTTCCTCTTGAAGAAGTATGTGGATGCTGGTAAACTTTACCCATTTCCCTGCTGTTTCTTCATGTGATGTTTACTCTCCTGCCTTTATGCTGCCTCTGGAGCAGGTTTTGAGTGTGTGTTGCTCTTCCTGTGCAACTCATTGGCCTAATGGTACAGTATGTTACAGTGACAGCATCTGTATATCCCAGTACCTACCTGTATGCTTGCCCACTGGCACTCTGGTTAACTCCTCTTGGGTCTGGGTGTTGGCTAGATCATCTTTTTCTCCATTTGTGCCTTTTGGATCTGAGTTCTGCAGACATAAAGGAGATGTCCCTTATAGCGTCTAGATCCTCATCCTTGAATAGGATGAAGATTATTCATCCTAAAATTACAGTCTGCAGGGACTGTGAGTTGAAGCAGAACCATTTCAGCATTTTTTAAAATCGTGCTTTAATTTAATTTAATTTAATTTAATTTAAGGAATGAGTGCTTCCTGAGGGCTGGAGTGTGCTGATACCACTGCTGTTATTGTTATTTTGTGTTTTGTGAGCTCTCGTATGTGCTTTCAGACTGTTGAAAGACAGTGCAGAAATAATCAAATTCCTGGGAGCACTTAATACAGCCAATGGAGAGTGTTAGGATTACCCCATGATGGAGAGGCAGTCACGGCTTGTGTATATTTACAGCCTGTGCTGTAGAAGAAAGAAAGAAGAAAACAGTGGTCATTTTAATGTGTTCAGCTGCCACACATGAGATTGCACAACCTAATGCAGATACAGTTTTATCAATTCACCAGAAGCTGTAACCAAAAAGCACTCATCAGTAATACCTGGAAACCACCCTTCTGAGCCAAGATAATTGCTCAGAGGTTGCTGTGCTGGTGAGAGGAGATAGGAGCAACTATTAGGGTAAGTTAAACAGATAGGGCAGGTTTTATTCAGAAATTGTCTTACTCTTTACTCAACAAAGCACATTTGAATGTTTTTCCTCAGTCTGCAAACAGCCTGAAGTGATTTTGTGACTTAAGAACTGATCTCAGATCATTGTCAGTTGTAGGATTAACTCTGAAACATAGCAAGAATGCAGCTGTTAATTAATGCTGTTAACTATCATCACTGATTGTTACAGCAGTCTTGCGAGCCGTTGTGCTTGTCTTCCCACATCATAGATGCTTTCTATTCAGTCCTATCTCACTTCCCTGCTCACCAGCGGAATCCCAGTTGTCCCTCTGTATTGCAATTTCATGTTCTCTCAAACCTCTTAGAAGCAGTGAGACTTGAGTGATGGGGATGGAGAGGATTGTAAGATGGGAGAAAACAGTGATGCCATGCTAACAGACTCTGATTTAATTGATTCATGTTATCCACTGGCTTAAGTGAACTACAGCTACTATGCAATAGCTTACTGCACAGTTTAAGTTCATGTTTTAATGGAGCTTATGCAAACACCACTGTAGTTTCAGAAATTGGCAAGTCAGCCTAAGTTTAGTGCTGACTGTGAATACCTGGGAAGTACTGAAAGTCAGCAGACAAGAATTATGTCTGACCTTATCAGTTCTTATTTTATTTAGCTCTACTTGTCATACACTTGTAAACATTTGGACCCAGATTGGTAGTGTTCACTTCTAAGTAGTTTGTTTGCAGTATGTACTTAAAAAAAGGTAGTGCCTAAAAAGCCCTTCAGAGAGCAACATAATAATCCTTATAGGGGTCATCATTCAGCTAAGACAGCATAGAGCCTGAGAGAAGCAAGCCAGCTCTGCCTTTTTATAGCTACTTGTTGAGCATCTGCAGTGCACAGTCATTACCACAAGTTTGTGAACAGCAAGAAAAATGGTCAACCTCCTCATGAAAAATTTACAATTTGGGCAAACTGTTTTGTAGACAAATCATGTTTTTCAGAGTGCATTTGTGTGGTTCACTCTGCTCTGGAAGAAAAGCCTTCTCTAGTGTATTTTATACATGAAAGCTTCCTTATGATGGGATTATACTTTCAATTCACAGCTTAATTCTAGCATCATTGATGAAATACGTAAGTGCTATTATTAGTTAAGGACTCCTTGTCTCTTCAGGTGGAGAGAGTGAATATAAAGCTCAGAAGCAGCACTGAGCAAACATCCAGAAGGCATTCACATATCCTGCCTAAACTTTTCTCTGTCTGTTTTGGTGTGAAGATATTTCCCAGAGTTCTGCTTGGTTCTTTTCACAGTACAGTTCTGTGCCAGACCTTAGCAACTTATGTTCTGGTCCTGATACGCTTTCATGCAGTGTCTAAATGCTGATGAGAAACAACATCTTTTGTAAGTTCTTTGAATGGGGCTTGAGCATTCTGGCTGCTTACTGTTGAGCTCTGTTTTGGACGTTGGCCATCCACAAGCTGCATTTACCACAAGCCTCTCTTTCAAAGCACAGTATTTCCCCTTCCCCTTCTTCCGTTGGACTGAGCACACCAGCTCATCCAAAAATTTGCTGTGAACTGGTAGAACACCACGACCTTTTCTCTAGTGTTTATGAGACTAGGGGTGAAGAGAGGAGCTAGGTTCTTAGCCACCTGACCAGTGGTCTATAAAGAAAACAACAGCAGGAGGGTAAAACACTGTTCTTCTCATGAGTAGCAGTAATTTGAATTTCGGGATCAAATTAACAGGTCTGCCAGCCTCTCCTGTGGCTGAGGAAGAGAAGTGAGCACGCAACTTAACTGCAATTTTAAAGGGATAAGTTCCTCAACAGTATCCAGCCTTGCTGCAGCTGCTGTGTGGCTCGTAGTTACAGTCAAGCTTAGTTTTTTTTTCTACCAGCAAATTACAAAGTCTTGGAATGCAAGCTATTACCTACCTTTTTTTTTTCCTTCTTTTCTGCAATGCTGTGTTATCTGGCCAGTTCCTCATGACTTCTGAGCCTGGCAGAGGTATAGGTGGAGAGGCGGGGTGCTATATGTGCACAGGAGCCTTTCCACAAGGTAAGCAACTATAACCTATGATATGAGGGGAAAGCAGCAGAGGTGGTTCTTATCTTTAGACGCTACTGACGTGCTTACGGATGGAGTATGAATTGGTTTCCTATAACCAAAGCTTTTCTCTCATCACCACCTTTTCTTCTTAGGAGATGGCCAAGGCGGCTTCTGTATGCACTCCAGAGAGCATGGACAGTGAAGACATGCTTTTCATGCTGTATACCTCAGGCAGCACAGGGAAACCCAAAGGAATTGTTCACACCCAGGCTGGATATCTGCTGTATGCTGCTCTCACGCATAAGGTAACTCACAGGAATCCTCTAGAGGAGGTTCACTTACCTTCTGATGATATTAATGATAGGGACTTTGAGTGGTAGGGATCACTGTGTTCTGTGTGTGCTACCTAATTGACTTATGGAGTGTAACCAAATTGGAAAGTTCTGAGAATGTGTAAGTTACATTTTGGGATTTGTTGCTGGGGAACATAATACTGTGAGAACTAGAGCCTGCACTGTATTAGTGTCTTAAGCCCGTACTTAGAGACATTAAAGTGATGCAGTTGAGGAGATTCAGGTAGATACTTCATGGGCATTGGTAATGTGACTACTGCTGTAACATTTTATAGTGGAGTATTGGCCTTTTCCAGAAGAGAGGCTCTGGATTCTTAAAAACCTCTTGCATAGCATATATAGTCTGAAGATCAAAAATTGCATTCATGTCCTATGGTTAAGCCTTGGCACTGATTTTTATTGTAATCTAAGCTAAATATTTTAACAGTTGAAAGCAAAATCATGAAAAGTATCTTTCTCATGAGAAAAAAAACAACCCAAAAAGGAACTGCTTCATGCAGCTTGTGATCTGAGCTCTACATATGAAAAGTCAACAGTAAAATGGAGATGGGATTTGTGTGAAAGTTCTCCATCTGACTTCAGTGATATCACCCTATTTGTAATCACATACAATTCTTTCAAAGCTTTTCTTTCTTTCGTCTGATTTTTAGAAAGATTTGAAAGATTTGAATGTAAAGATCTAAAAATCTAAAGATTTTAGGAAGATTTGAATGTAAAAGTTCTCTGCATTCAGAGTATTTGCAATGTCAGCTTTTCTGAGTGACTGTAATTGCCAAAGCATCTATTTCTACATTAGTCCAGAAGGTAGATCCTGCACACTGGTGCAGGGAAGCATTGTATGCAGCTGCAGCCTTCTTAGAGCTGCTTTGGAGCCTGATGGAGAAAAGTACTTGCAAAGTTAAGGTGAGAATTAGCTCTCCTAAGTAGAGAGATCAGATAATCTGTGCAACATGTGTGCAAAAAGCACAGTGACAGTCATGCTGCATGTTTGTGGGTTTTGTTGTGTGGTTTATTTTTTGAGTTTCTGGTCCTCTTTCTTCGATTTAAACTGTAAAACTGACTCTGCTTTATGAGTCAGGACCTCTTCACTATGTGGTAGAGGAATTGGATTTATAGAGAGAATTATTTACTGAAGGCAAAACAAAATAACACGTTCTCCTAGGTTTTTATTTGAAGTAGGCGAGCAGGGAGAAGGAAGCATCTGGAAAGCAGTGCACTGATAAAGGTGCTGAGCAGCTAAGAGCGTTTCTCAGGAAACGTTTCATGTGCGTGTATCAGTTTCTCCAGCTCTCTTATGGAAAAATGTTCATATTCATGAGGGGTCTAAACTTCTGAGACCTGCAGTCTCCCTGCTGTTTAGGATCAGCTCTCCCACGTGAGCTGTCTGCAGTGAGCCACTGCAGTATCCAGAGCTCTGGGCTTTGGTTGTAGGTTTCTGTTTGGAAACAGTCACATTCCTTGTTCCCTGTGTGTTGGAAACAATCAGGAGGCTGAAGCCCTGGTCCCTCTGGCTTGTTTCCTCACATTGGGCCGGCCTTGTGCTGCTGTGTCTGTATGAGTGGCACAACTCACCCTGCTAGCTCTCTTGCTCCTTCTTGTGTGCATCCCATCCAGCACCTTACTCTTCAGCTCTATGTACCTGCCGACAGGAAATCAGTTGGCCTTCCATTTATCTTTGCAGTATGTGTTTGACTACCAGCAAGGCGATGTCTTCGGCTGTGTGGCTGACATTGGCTGGATCACAGGACACAGCTATGTTGTGTATGGACCACTTTGCAATGGAGGCACCACGGTGCTGTTTGAAAGCACACCAGTGTACCCTGACCCAGGTAAGGAAGTGATGGGCAAACAGTTGGCTAGATGTGGCAGTGTGACAAGACAAAAGGAGGTTAGAAACTTGTCAGATATAACCTGTCTGCTCAGGGGAGGTAAAAACTCAATTTCTTTGAAACAGATATGTATAAAGTTCAGGAACATGCAATGTTGAAAAAAATATATGAAATCTTGCCATTGTTTTGCTCTGTGCTCATAGTAATCTCAGCCTCAGCTTTGACTGTTAAGCTTCATGTTGAGCTGTTGTGGTGGAATGTCAGTGTTGATATGTTTGTGATCTTGCAGGCCGTTACTGGGAAATGGTACAGAGGCTGAAAATAAATCAGTTTTATGGAGCACCTACAGCTATACGCTTGTTGTTGAATTATGGAGACAAGTGGGTGAAGAAATACGACAGATCATCCCTGAAGACCCTGGGATCAGGTAGGGAGCATAAAATTTTCCTGTGATGAAGATAGAGGGTTCTAGCTGATGAGAGTGAAGATACTAGAAGAATATGGTTATGAATAGCTGATAAAGTGGACTTCCCATCTGGCTTTTCAGTTATTGTCTCAGCAGAAAGGGAAACAAACTGAATTTGGAGACACTGACCCTACATGATTGCCCCTTTCCTAGCTCATGTTGCATGATTGAATTCTTTGTATTGTATTCTTTGCAGAAAAGGTTTATCCACTGGTAAATTAACTTTACTGGCTTAGGTGACCCAAGAAATATTTTACTGCTTTTAGGATTTTAGGAGTTCTTGCACATGAGTTGCTTTGATTAATTACTTTCTGTGATACTTACTGCTTGCCTTCTGGTCTTTTTGGAAAAAGTCCTTTGTTACGTAAGTGCATTGCTGTCCTTTGCACCTCTCAGCAAAAAAGTTTTGAGCATTCTGCTTAATCGTGTGATCTCCATATTGTGCACCAAAAGGCAGAATGAACAGTCAGCAACTCCTTGAATCTTAAGACTACTTCCATTCTTATTTTTGATCTAGTGGGAGAGCCTATTAACAACGAGGCTTGGCAGTGGTTCTACCAAGTGGTGGGAGAAGGGCGCTGTACCCTCGTGGACACTTGGTGGCAAACAGGTAAAAGGCTTCCTCAGGGGGTGTGCACGGTTGTCATGGCTGATATGAGGCCAACAATGGGAGGTCTTGTTGCTGGTGTTCAGCAGTGATAGAACAAGTGGAAATGGCTTTAAACCAACAGGAGGGGAAATTTAGGTGAGATGTTAGGAAGAAATTCTTTCCTTTGGGAGTAGTGAGGCACTGGCACAGCTCCCCAGAGAACCTGTACTGCCCCATCCCTGGAGGTGTTCAAGGCCAGTTTGAATGGGGCCCTGGGCAGCCTGAGCTGGTGGATGGGGGTGGCAGTCAGTCCACAAAAGAGGGTTGTAACTGGGTGGCCTTCCAACCTAAGCCATTCTATGATTCTGTGATTCTATATGTGTGGAGGAGAATTTGTACTTTTCTGTTCAACCCACAGAGCCTTATATAAGGAAAGCAACCTCCTGATGTTTTGGTCAGAGTTGGAAAGCCACTGGGCAGTTTCAGCACAAAATAACAGGGCAGCAGCATCTAAAAGCAATAGCAACGTGTTGCACCTTTTTCCACTCTAAATGTTCTTTGATATTTTGAAAGCTGAAAAATCTCAATTGGTTCTAGAAACAGAAAGCAGAGATTGAATTTCGGTGCAGTGCTTGGAGTCAGCAGCTTGAATTTGAAACCTGAGTTCAGTTGTTTATGTGGTCTTAACATGAGAGGATATCATGAAAGAACATTCATAGCAGCATGTAGCCACAAACTGCACTCAGGTGTGTTTCATATTTTTGCCTCAAGAAGGACAGAGGAAGATGGAAAACTAAGCTGTGTAGACAGAGGCATATATTGCTTTTGCTGATTGGAAAGAAATCAGAGGAGGAAGGCTTTCTGGCTGAGTGGCAGGGGGACAACAACTGTTGCCTGATTTGGATCAGTCCCTCCCAGGAGAGAGGTAGCATGCTGCAGTCCTTTGGCATTCTGATACTTTAAAAAACAAGTGTACTACAGTTTTGGCAACATGCTTGGCCTAATTGTGTGCATCAGTGCAGGAGCTGTCATTTATAGACTATTCACCATCTCTTGCCTGCTGGACAGAACGGGCTGTCACGTTGGAGCAGGAAAATTGCTCCATCTGTTTCCTGCCTCCTGCTTTTCATGGTGAGCAGCTTGTAGGACTGCACAGTGCAGCCCCCAGCTCTTTGTTCATTTTGGTGTCAGACAGTCCTGTGTTCTGGTCACCAACATTCAGCAGCTGCTAAGTGCATTTTGAATGCTCTTTCCCCTAACATTGACAAAAATATGTCCTCAAGTTGCAAGCCTCACAGCTTGCTATGGAGCCATGCACTTAAAGGACACAGCACAGCTGTGAGCTTCCTGCCTCTGCTGGAGAAAAGCCCTTCCTACTCTTAAATTTCTAGCTGCTGTTGAGCAGATTATCCATTCCCTTTTTAAGCAAACTGCTCATGATTTCACTCTTATTTCTGCTACCAACTTCTCTATTTAGGATAACTATCACCCATCTCAGTGTGGTGAGTTTGCTTCTGGCACACAATCAATTTCCATTTAATCTGGATCAGACTCTTTGTTTTCGGATTTGAAATAGAACAGCAGCAATGTTATCTACTCTGTACTTTCTTAATACCTTAAATCGTTTGGGTTCTTACCTTCTTAGCAGGAAAAAGTCTGATGGATTAGGTGCTACACGCTTTCCTCCTCCCTGCTCTGATATAAAACACTGGTGAAAAGCAGTTGATGGCTGTACAGTGGTGGGGATGAGAAAAAACGTTATTTTTGATGATGAAGACAAAAACAATATTTTTGGTTATAGCTTGTCTTCAGTTACTGATGCATGCAGTATGGTAGGTCGGTTCTCCCTTATACAGGGTTAGATCTTGTAAGAAGATGTATTTTTTGTGGGTTTTTAGAGCAAGAACTCTCAGGGAAGAGGTCAAAGAACATTTACTGGACAATCTGTAAGTGCAAAGTGCTTGATTCTGAATTTGAACCAAATGTAGTTTTGCATGCAGTTACCAGCTCCTGGAAGCATAATATAATGATAAATATTCATTAAATTGATTTTGCTAGAAAGTAGAATCAATCTTTCTCCACAGTTGATGCTTCCATTAAAGAGGAAGCCAAATTAATCATGGATGCACTGTATTCACAATTATAAATGCAAAGGGAATATGGAAAGAGATCACAGAAACAGTTTGATGGATGCTGGTTGTGATCCTGCAGTGTCACCTCTCACAAACGATTTCATTAGAGCTCAGTAATTGCACAGCTCTGTGCACTGTCCTCTATGGTACGTTGCTCTCCAAAGCAACAACACGTTGCCAGTTAGTAAAGCCTGGTGGGTGTACAGATCAGCAGATGATGATTTAAGAATCCACTTGAAAGTCTTTGGATGAGTGAATAAGTGAGACAGCAATTACAGGAAGCAATTTTAGTAGTGTTACGCGCAGATGAGAGAGACGGAACATTTCTGTGGCTTTTAGTGTTAAAATATTAGGAATTGCTGGGCTGTGATTGACAGTAATGGAATCAAATCTGTGTTTCAGTTCCAGGTATACTTATTCACAGTGCAGAGGAAACACTTGGTAGTTCCATTTTTGTTTTTCAGTTAAAAAAATACCCACAAAATACAGCTGTTGTATGCAGCTGTGAACAAAAGCTGTTTTTGAGAGACATCTGTAAGTAGGTTCTGGAAGCTTTGGTTGTTCGTTTCTTACACTGCCAGTTTAAGACAGGTCTTTCCCATACAAATAAATTTTGAAGCATCCCTGCTACCATTCATTTCTGAAGCATGCATTTCCTCCAAGACCCTTCCTTATACCCACATCAGGGTAACTGATGGATGCAAATTCAGGGACAGATTCAGCCTTTCCAAACCTTGATTTCAGTTTCCACAACCTCCGCAAAGCTGGTGGAGCTCAGCACTCTCTAAGTGGCAGAACATAGCTTAGTTTCTACAGCTATATTTATTAAAGTTTAATGTTCCTGTGTTTTTTGTCTCTCATTTGTGTTTTTGAGTTACTTTCATATCTTATTAAGGTTGGAATCTGATTTAATGTTCATCCCAGCAGGCATGAAAAAAGAATGATTAGAAAGTTCAATTTTGAATAGAAGATGATCTCAAATTGCTTGTAAGGGATGTGTTATTCTCATTCTCTGTAATAACAGCAATTCAGACTCCTGAAGTGCTTTTCCTACTAACCTTAGACAGCTGTAAAAACGGCACAGGGAGATAAATCCCCTTTCTCTGTAAAATCACTACTAGGGTAGGAAATGGGGCTGATGGGTATTGTCCCTGCTGCCAAGCAGCCCCATTCATGTGAAAAAAAATCTTGGAAGGCTGTATGTATGCATTAGAGCTCCTTGTATTCATTGCTAGCTGGTAGCTAGAGGAATTGGCTTATCCATGAGCTGATTTAGTGCCAGGCTTTTGGGCAGAGAGCACATGGGCTGAATCAAGACACCTTCTCGTGCCTGGTTTGCTGTGGATATATCCATAGAAGGGTGCTGGATGCATGCAGTACCTTGACACTGCAGGGTCCGCAGGCCTTTGGTGCAAAGCCAGTGCTGCAGCCCCTGCAGTACTCCCTGAGAAAAGCTAGGTGGGACATTAGTGGTCCTGATGCTCAGTGCCATGGAGAACTGCTCTTCCCTGAGAAGGCTGCATGGTCCCACTCTGTGCCATGCTACTCGATGTTGAATAGTTCCTTCCCAGTGGCTTTTACTTGGAGATGGCTTCTGTATTCTCTTTAACAGAGAAGAGCTAGCATTTGCTTTCATCCAGCATTGGATGAATCTCAAATATTTTATTTTTCATTATTTTCCAGAAACTGGTGGCATCTGCATTGCCCCACGGCCTTCAGAGGAGAAAGCTGATATCATTCCAGCTATGGCTATGAGACCCTTCTTTGGGATTTTCCCTGTTCTGATGGATGAAAATGTGAGTTGAGGCTGTGACAGGTGCCAAGAAGAGAAGCTACTGTGTTTTTCTGCCTTAATCACCTTTCCAATGGGAGAGGAACAGGATCTGGGAGGATGTATATTCCTCCATTAAAACAGTAGAATAAAAGAGCAATTTATATATCTGGGCATATCTCAGATATCCATACAGATTTCCAGCCGGGCATTGCAAGCTATCTCTAGAGAGATTAAAAGCTACTTCTTCCATTTCTGAGAGCAGTCAGAAGTCATACATGTCTTGGAAACCAGGGAGATAAGCAGCTGGCACAGTGCATACAACAACCAGTGACTTAGCAAGACTGGCAAAGCAAGAAATGAAGTCTTTCAGGGGAAATGCAAGGCATGAGGCCCTGCAGCAGTGCGTGTCAGTAAGAGATTGATGCTGATCTCTGAAGCTTTGCTGAGCAATCCCCACCAGCACTCAAGTGCCCAGTAAAGCATGTAATCTCCTCATATACAGTTTAATAAGGGAATGTGGTGATTAATGTAAGTGAAAGGGAAATCCTCTGGCTGCCTAGCATGCCTTTGTTGTCATCTTTTCCAGCATTGCCCTCTGCAGAATCACAGGATTCACTGTTCTTTGAGACTTAAAATTGTTTTATCTGCAGTGCTGAAGGCCTTGAGAAGTAAGGAATGCCCAGCACAGATGGTGTGTTCACTAGAGGATTCATCTTCTCCCCATGTGGCCAACCATTGCCAGTCTGCACTGAGCAACAGGGTGATTCTTACTATATTAGTGAGTCAGAGGCACTTATTCTTATTTTGCTCTTCTGATCATCCTTTTTGTGCTTGAACCTGCAGGGAAAGGTTTTAGAGGGCAATGACGTGTCCGGTGCACTCTGCATCACGGAGCCGTGGCCTGGCTTGGCAAGAACAATCTACAGAGATCACCAGCGATTTGTTGATACGTATTTCAAGACCTATCCAGGTAAGGAGAGTGCCAAGGGAGTGTGGTTTCCACTGCATTATAAGAATGCTCAATATTTTCAGCAGTGCTTTGTGATATTTCTATTCAAGCTAGATCTTGGGGGTTGCTGGAATTTGGTGTGTTGCGTGTTGTAAGCATGCAGTAATGGTTCTAGCTGTCACATAGAAATGCATTTATTTATAAAAATGTAGTGCCTAGAATAAAAATCCAAGGACACTTTCTCTGGGGCCATTTTTGTCTCGTTTGGAAATAAGCATTTAGGATGAGAAAGTACCTCCTGCATCACTGAATCTTGCCTGGGCTGTCACATGCTGTGTTACACCTGCCCCTTTTTAAGCATGGTCACGTTGTACCTGGCAAGTAATTGCAAGTGGCAGAGAAAACATTTTATGGGAAATTGGACAACACCACTGTCTTCAGTCAAGGGAAAGGTCATGGGGAGTCACAAGGTAGAGAAAAATTGGAAAGATGGCCCGGAAAGTTGTGCAAAATTGTGTGGAAAATAAGAATGGGAAATTGATGAAGTTGAATGAGCCCCTATTCTCTTATCTATTCTCTTATTATTCATTTCTATCTGCATCTGCAATCGCAGTGATATTTAACATAGGTTGATAGCTCCTATCATTCGATAATTGATTGGAAGGGCAAGAAGCATGACTGAAAATCCATGAACTGGACAGTAATGGATCCTGCCAAAAGCTGCCTTCAGAGCTTGCAGCATTAGCTGCCAGCTGCTGTGCCAAAGTGCCACAGGAACAATTCTCTCCTGGACATGGCTTTGTTTGTTTGCTTTTCAACTAACCCAGTAGCAGAGTTTCTACCATGGTCACATGCTGAAAAGGGATCATTTTCTGGGACCTGAGTCTTCGTTAGCCAGAAAAAGAAGTGGCATTTTATCAGACCCAACGTAAGTGATTAAAAAAATTGTCAGTATTCCCACATACAGATATAATAGAACTGTTCATTTTCAGCTGAGCATTTGTAATTTTCATTGAGTACTGAGGTGAAGCTAGCAGCAAACCTGAGTTTGACCAGCAGCCTATGGCATGATAGCACATGGCATTTGAACTATTTTGGGGCTGTATGCATTAGTCTGGGTGAGCAGTCGCTGTGCATCTGTAGGAGTGTAAAGCACAGGGAGATCTGAGAACCCTTTTTGTTTTTGTAAATCCAACAGAGCATCACTATGTTGTGTTTGTGGGCTTGGATTTATCGCAGGTCATCAGCCACTGGTTGCTGCTGATTGCCTACAGTGATTGTAGGCAATTATGCCTACCATTGCCTTGCTGCTGCCCAGATGACATAGCAGCCAATACAGCCTAATGATAGCAGCCAAAGGCTGAGGACAGCAGAGGGAAGTGGAAAATGATGTGTGGACAATCATGCATCTGTAAGCTTAGTCTGCAAACTGTCTGATCCACCCTGCCTTACTTGTCATCCTAGAGCAACATCTGTCCTGAACCAGAGTCCCCAGGAAATAGGCTGGCACACTTCCTACTAACAACCACCCACATCTCTTTCCATTAGGTTACTATTTCACAGGGGATGGTGCTTACAGGACCAAAGAAGGCTATTACCAGATAACAGGGCGTATGGATGATGTCATTAACATCAGCGGACACAGGCTTGGGACAGCAGAGATAGAAGATGCAATGGTAAGCTGCAAGCAGGCACACATCTCTGGGGCAGGGTAGCCCTTGAAAGAAGCTGTATGAATTTAAACAAGTGCAAAATCTGATTTGTTTGCAGTAGCAGTATTGCCTTTGAACCTCTGCCTCTACTTACATACAACTGCAATTTGTGATGCTGGTAGAGTCTTCGTAAGGGATTGGCTCTCCCATTCCTTCCTTTCCCTCTGCTAACACTTAGCCTTTACTTCCCAAATCAGCAGTTCATGCTCATCTGGACCAGCTGAACATGGCTGAGAATTCAGTAGCACTGAAACACCCTTGATTCACAACAGCTGCAAAGATAGATAGCCTGTCTTTCTGAGAGAAAATAGTATTAGCTCAGAGGATTGAAAACAGAAAGTCCTCAAAGCACTTACCTTCAAAGCTTGACCTGGATATTTATTCCTGTATTATGTGCCTTGCCTACAAACAGCACTTAAATGTAACATTTGATGAACCTGAATTTATATGGCACACAAGGATTATGTTGTCTCCTCTGTGAGTAAATTTTTTTTGTTTGGATGAATTTATGATCATGGATATAGGATCTGGTTCCTTCCCCACTTTTTATATATGTATATATGTGAATAGGCAAATATATTTTTCTGCTATATTGCTCTGTGATGTTTTTTCATATTTTTAATCTAATTTAAGACATAATCCAGTCTTTGGTTTGAGATTCAGGTACGTGAGTTCTTCCAGCCTGTACACCCAAACTGTCTCCTTACTGCCAATGTGTATCAGTTTCACCCAAGAAGTGTGGCAGAATAAATCACTGTTCTGGAGCATAATAAAAACAAGCATTCAGCAGAAAAACCCTTCCGTGCTTCTAGGAAGAAGTGAAGGCCAGATTCTTTCTTCCTTCTGGTGTGCTTCGGTTGCTAATAAACACTGATCAGGTGTTGACTGTGATATTGGCATTTGTTCTGCTGGAGACAGATCTCTGAGGCACGGAGCAATGCAAGACTACTTTTGTGTATGATTTGGCTATGGCCAGACATCACTTGGGACTGTAGCTTCACACACACAAAGAGAAAGCATCACTGAATCACAGACTGGTTGAAGTGGGAAGGCACCTCTGGGTTTATCTACTCCAGCCCCTGCTCCAGCAGAGACACCCAGAGCTGTTCACCCAGGCCCCTGTCCAGGCAGCTTCTGAAAGTCTCCAAGGAGAGAAACTCCATGACCTCTCTGGGAAACCTGTGCCAGTGCTCCAGCACCTGCACAGCACAGAACTGCTTCCTGATGTTTAAATAAGACTATTGTGACCTATTGTTGCCTCTTGCTGGTGCAAATTCAGCTTGGTGTGCTTTGTGTCCAGCAGTGCATGTGAAAATGCTTCTTAGTGTATTTGAAAGCAGGACCAATCCAGTGAGTAAATGCTACTTCCAGAAACTGATGCCTGTGGCCACCAGCTGACTATGGAGTAGGGAGGTGGAATCCAGCTTTCCTGTTTTGCATGCAACAAAGAGATGGCAAGATACTGCAGATACTGCAAAAGTAGCTGGCACAGATGCGGAAGGGCTTTACGCTCTGATTATTTTTGTTTTATTTTTGTGAAGGCTGATCATCCTGATGTCCCTGAGACAGCTGTGATTGGGTATCCTCATGAAATCAAAGGAGAAGGTATGTGAAAAACAGCATCCTGACTTGACACATAAATACATTCAGTTTCTAACCTGGACTCTGTGCTAAGTGGTATCTAGGGAATAGAAGACTGGTTACTGTTGGTTAACTGGCAATACAGTCCTAAGGTGCAACAGCAACCTCGAAAATAACTTCCTAAGCTAAATGCAGGTATTGCTCCCTTGACTGTTTTCATTCGTAGTGTTTATATATATGATAGAGCTTTCATAAGCAGGATTGTGCTCAGAAAAGCCCTTTGAACAGATGGGCTTGTGTTGGTATTGATCCCAATGACTCTGCTAGTCATTGTTGTGCTGTCATTATCACTGAGACCAATCTGGTCTATGGATGCTAAGACAAGACTGGACCTTTATTCTAGGGGCTTGAATCTGACTGCTTTTGTAAACATGACTGATGGTTTTCTTGTCTGTCTCCAGATTGTGCCTAAGAATGATTTAAAACCTGCCTTAGCATTCAAATGAGTAGTTCTGCCAACCAGGACCTAATATGAAGTACTCATATTTCATTTTCATTTTTCTCATTTTTCTTCTAGGTGCCTTTGCTTTCATAGTGCTCAAAGAGCAGACAGCTCATACAGACCATGTCAAAGAAGAGCTCAAAACTATAGTGGCTACCAAAATAGCAAAGTATGCTGTGCCTGACCACATTCTGGTAAGAGGGAGACTAAGGGAGACTGGGAGCAGGAGCAGTGGCATTTACTAAGCCTTGCCTTTCCCATCTGCTGTGTTGCAGTTGTCTCTCTCTAGCAGGACAAAGGAGCAGGAAAAGAGAACTTGCTGGAGGGATCTGTGGGTGGAGGAGGCAGGTGCAATGGTCTGAATGTACACATCCATGCACAGAGAGTACTGAGAGTACCTTTCCTGGCAAGAATTCTGGCAAACGGGAATTTTAGGCACACCCTGTGCCTTAAGCGGCATTTGTCATCCCTTCTTTGAGATGCAGCAGCATTACTATTTTAAACTAAAAGGGGAGAGACTTAGATTATTATCAGGAAGAATTTTTTTTTACTCAGAAGGCAGTGAGACTCTGGCACAGCTGCCCATAGAAGCTGTGGTGCCCCGTCCCTGGATGGTCTTAAGGCCAGGTTGGATGTGGGCCTGGGCAGCCTGAGCTGTGCGGGATCCATGGCGGGATCCATGTTCCAATCCATGGCAGGGATTGGAACTGGGTGTGCTCTAAGGTCCCTTCCAACCCAAGCCATTCCACTGTTCTGTGAGTTTTCAAGTGTTTGTAGTTCAACAGTTAACAGCTTTTCCAAGGCCTCAGTCTCCAAAAAGCTTCATATTCAGCAGCACCCAGCCCTGGAGTTACCCAGCAATGAATGAATGAGAAGCAAAGTCTAGTTAGATAAGAATACATTTTATAGCACAAGATATTGATGCAAGCAATATTCCTTTGTTTGGACACAAACTACTGTGCTCAATGAGTAGCTCCTAGGAGTCTCCTAGGAGCTGTAGCCATGAGATAGCGCCAGGCTTAGGACAGCTCAGCTAGATTTCCAGGTTATTTCCATCAGGATCCAAGTTCTGATTCAGGTGTGTCTTTCTCTTTTCTGCAGGTGGTGAAGCGCCTTCCTAAAACCCGATCAGGGAAGATCATGAGGAGGCTGCTGAGGAAAGTAGTCACAGAGCAATCAAGTAACATGGGAGATGTCACCACACTTGACGATCCGAGCGTCGTCGCAGAGATACTGGATGCGTACCAGAAATACAAAAAGGAGAAGAGTTCCTCATAGCAGATGCCTTTGGAATATCTCTGCTCTGGAAATGTGGAGGGTCTTGAATGACGAGGCAAACAACATGGTTCTCTCTTGGTGTATTCTGCAAAACTCTGTTCCCTTCTAGAGAAATAGGATTTCTTCTCCACAAAGTGTTTTGAGTTGTTCAGAGCTAGGAGGCATCTGCTGGCTTGCACAGTCAGGGAGCTCCTTTTCACTGCTTCTAGAGCTGATGTAGAAAAGCCATTGGCAGTTTCCATTAGCTGTGGTGAAAATAATACGAGGTAAAACAAGATAAAGATGTTAATATTTCTCATTTCAATGGTTTTATACAAGGAAATGTTTTTATATTATACTTCCGTTTTTTTTAAGAGCAGCCTTGGAATATATTCCTTCTATTTTTCCTTCAGCTTGGATATCCAAGTTGAAGTAGTTGTTTTTAACTGCAACTGTGGTGCCTTTTCAGCAATGCAGGGTTTTTAGTAGATATTTCATATGTATTATTAGGGAAATGAGAAGGACATGGCTAATCAGATATTTATCTCATGCTCTGATAATTCCTGTGGCTTTCCTCATAATAACTTGTGCCTTCCACTATATTTCCAGAACTTCCCTGGAACACCTACACAACCCAGCATTAGAACTTTCAACTACAAAACTGAGCCACAAAGCCTATGTCTGAACTCTGCACATCCGCAGTGCATTGCCAGGGAACTGGTCCCAGGTGTTTTCATTCTCCTTTAAGAGACTGAGATCACCAACTGGGATTTTAGGGCAACTTTCCTCTTCCTCATTAGTGATGACAATTTCTGCAGTTGTCTTTGTTTCTTCAAGTCATTATGAAAAGGAAACCATATTTACTTTGCTAGAGGAGCATGGGGGAATAAAATCCCAAAGTGTTCAAGAGAGGTTTGAAGCTAAAGAGATGTGCTAGAAGGTTTGTTGTGACTTGCTGAGTTGCATGATTTCTAGTCAATGAATGGTTATTTTAGCCCACTCCCAAGTGATCTGTAATCTGACAGGTAATCAACAAAGACAGGCACCCAATTTGAAGGTAGGTTGGTTCTTTCATCAGAAGTTGTCTTAATGCTTGTCATTTCAAGATGTCCCCTGCCATGTCTGTCCCTTCCATATGCTGCTGTGCTGATCTTCCAGCACATGCCATGCCGGTACACACAGATTGCACAATCCACAAGGAGAAGGAAGTGCCTCTTAGATGCTTTCTGGGAAATGATGGTGGTATTCCAGACTAGCAACCTCAGAATAACAGGAAACAACAGTCTTTGTCTTTCATATGCTTTTCACAGCAAGGAGTGGTGAGTTTTTGGCCAGCAAAGAATCTGGTCCAAATGGGGAAGACAACTGTCAATATGATATGTTCTCAGTCAGGCCTGTTGCCTTTGATCTCAGAGTTCCTTTTGAGTATGTTAGGTACGTTTGTTGTTGGATTTTTAAATCTATGTGTCTCCAGGGTCTGGGTAATACAGCAGGGAAGATCATACTTTGTTGCGGTTCCCATCCTTCTGACTGCAATCCATTTTTGCCTAAGGTAAGTATACATCCTGTGGACTTTGTGGGAAGTCGAGGATCAAAAAGTTTCACATAGCTGACAGACATTAATATTTCGGGAGACAGCCACTACATACATCCTCTATTGCCACTGCAGAAATAAAACCCCTCTTCCTTAAGTGATTTTCAAGTGGGAAGCTGACAGTAGTTAATGCTTTTGACAGAAAAGTAGACTCTCTTGTTTAGACAGGCTGTCTGCACACGCAATCTCCCCCACACAGTCTGAAATATAGGGTGGAGAAAGAGAAGTGGTCTTTGAACAAAATCATACACTTTGATGAAGAAAGCATTTTCTATATTACTGAATTTCCATGTGAAGGTCCAGTATTCGCTGACATTGGATCTAATTCATCTGAACTGCCTCACAAGGACTGGCTTTGTGCTTTGGTGCACTGAGACACTGTTATCCAATTCATCTGGTGAGGAAAAAGGGGAGATAAGTGTACTGCTTCACGTGCATCTGTGTATATTCTGAGGCCCCTTTGGATGCTCATAGAGAGCACATGGTACTGTCATAGTACTACTGTTAGAGTTATCAGAGTCAGAAGAGATCACTAAGATAATCATGTCCAATTGTCAGCCTATCACCACCACTAACCATGACCTTCAGTTCCACATCTCCACATCTGTAGAACGTGCATTAAGTTTGCCAGCCTTAGAAGTCCTCCTTTCATCTTTTTTTCTGTAATCTCTAATTGCACTGGTTGCATTACCAGTCCTAGTCTGAGTAGAGCTGAGCATGTTGCTATTTCCTGGATGTGGTGAGCACCAGCAGTGGTGTTTGTCAGCAGTGCTTTCGGCTTCGTGTGCAGCTGTTTTGTCACCCATCCAGACTTTGCTTTGAGGAGGGGCTCAGCCTGCAGAACTGGCACTGAGGTCCTCAGTTCTTGAAATACTAGGAGAAAGATGCCACTAGCAAAAGACTTCAGGCCTGCTGCCTTTTGAGCTGATCCACTGATGCATTCATCAGTGGGGAAAGTATACTTGGAATACTTCATAGTGGGATCATGGGATATTCTTGTGTATGGTTGATTCATTTGGGAAAGCAAAACTGATGGACCTTTGTGCATCCACGATTAATGTGGGGGTGATGTGCTAGATTGCATTTGTAACCTCATCAGAAGAGTTTCAGAGTTTGTTTTACCTGCTGCAGTCTGACACAAAGGGCAAATGAAAACACTCAACAAGGGAGACAAGGCCTGGTAGGGAAAGAGCCTCTAGGTCTGCTGCGGCAGCATCTAGTAGTAGCATAACCTTGTCATGCCTGTCCATCGTGTTCTTACCTCATTTTCCCACTCAGATGTACCCATGGAAGCTGATCTTCGTGCCTTTTTTCCCACCCAAGAGACCAGACCACAATTTTCTTAATTTTAGGAAACAAAAAGGCATCTCCTAGAGGTGATGTGTGTTGTACAGATTAACATTTTGCTGTTGTTAACTGTCATACTTTACATTTATTGTCATTGACCGAAATCCGTGATCTCCGTATTCAGATTTTCATTAAAAGAAGCACCCACTTCTGCGTGATGTGTTGGCTTTGTGCCGTAGGCGTCTGACTCTACACGTGTGGGGTTTCGCTCCCAGCAGCCAGAAAACCAACTTCGCCCTCCTCACCAAGCTCTCCCCCGGCCCGTTTCGCGGCAGCCGCGGTGCAGCCCCCTGCCGCCACCTGGTGGATGGAGCCGCTCCTTCCGGGAGCGGCAGCGGGGATGCGCCGAGCTTCGCTCCTGAGGACGGGACCGCGGCGGTTGAGCGGCCGTCTAGAGGCGGCACCCGGACACGGCGGGGCTGAGCAAAACCCCGCTGTGCAGCCTTCATCGCACCACCGGAGGCTCGCCGAGGAAGCGCGACGCAGCGCGCAGGCGCGGCCGCAGGGCGGGGCGGGGGGCGGGCGGAGGCCGGAGGTCGGGGCCGGAGCTGCGGAGGATGAATGAGGCCGAGGGGCTGCGGCAGCGCCGGCCGCTCCGCCCGCAGGTCATCACCGAGGACGGCCCAGCGCAGGAGGCCAAGGAGGGCAGGTGGGAGGCCCGTCCGGCGCGGGGCTGCGGGCCGCGTGCTGTAAGGCGCTGCCGTCCACCCGGGGCGCCGCTGGGCGCTCGGTGCTGCTCAGGCGGCCCCATGTGTGCCCGGTGGTGGGGTTGGTCTGTCTCACCATCTATCTGTTTACGTATTGGGGCTGTTTAAACGCAGCTCTTGGAGCAGTGCCGCTTATCCCGTTGTGGCTTGCGCGGATCTGCTGTGGGTGTGACTGGCTGTTGTGTAATGCTGTTGGTTTGTTTGGAGCTGGCAGTGGTTTAGAGAGGTGACCGCACACCTCTGTGTGCCTTATAAACACTTCATTGGTTTGAGGTATGGTTAAGGATGATCTCCTTTACAGCTCCCTGTGTACCGATTCAATTCAAAACTGGCTTCTCTGTAACTGCAGGCGGTAGCAGCAATAAGAAAGCAGCGTTTGCTTTGCCTTCCACCAAAGCTCGATCTTCGAGGTCCCTTCTAACCTAAACCACTCTTGGCTGGCACTGCTTTGGTTCACCATCACTGATGTCTTTTCCCATTTGAGTGCCCCTCAGATTTTCCTCTCTGCTCCTCTGTGTCACCAGGGTGCAAGAGGTGCTTATTACTGTACTCATAGCCCCCGTTAACAAGGGAGACTATCAGCACCTTTCAATTGTTCTTTCCAGCATCCACCTCTCTTGCTAATTTTTCTCACATCAGTTGTGTTTCTAGGACTCTGTCAACGATCCAGAATATTCACAGATCCCAGTCTCTCGAGACTGTCTTGCATGAAGCAGTGGAAGTACTTCTGAAGGATGCCCGTGTTCCAGATGGGAGCCATGCAGAAACTCTTGCTGACGGCTGCCCTCCCTGCTGCCTCTCCTGCCGTTCCTATGCTGAGAGGAGGAGGCAGCCCACACTGCTGGCTGTGCTGACCTCTAGTGTCTTTTTGTCAGCCTCTCTCCAAGAGCTATGTGACAGCATCTTGTTTTAGTTCTCAGTGACATCTAAATTAGTGTTGTTATAGCTAGAAGATTGGGAATTGTTTGATTTTGTTGATGTGCATTTGCTTTTATTTAATTTCTAGTATTTCAGCAGTATCTAAAGTAGGTCTTGCAGTTTGCAGGCTTGGAGCAGGGGTTTGCATGTTGCCACATTCTTCCTGCCTGCTTCCTTTATTATCAGTATATTGCAAGTTTGTTTAAGGCTCAGAAATATGACCTTTACCTAATAATGCTTTCAGGAGCTTTAATTAAGTTGGCTTGGCAGATGAGTTCTCATCCACCTTTATCAGCTTCCTTTTGTGTGAGCTATTCTCATCTGTCACAAAGGTGCTTCTGTGACTGCTAACAGCACTTTCAATTTTTAAAGTATTGAGCCATCATTTTCTGAAGGACTGTGGAACAGTGAGGCAGGCAGCTGAAGTCTTTGTGTAGACTTAGAGACCACTATGTAGACTTAGAGACCACCTCATGTCTCTGTCACTCTCTCCATTCCAAGGGCAAGGGGAAAAAGACTGGGATGTTGCTTTCTCAAGACATCTGCTGTTCCAGCAGACAGTGCTGAGATCTGGTGGTTCGTCACAAGGGCAGTCTGGCCCCTGGGAGTTGCAAAGAGGTTGGTCAATGTAGATGAGCAAGCTTATTTGAAGCAGCTTCGTGATCTGATTACGTCATCTTGGAGATAGGCTTATTGCTGTAACATTGCTGATGTGCCCAAAGGGGAGTGCTCTCTGGAAGGAGCTGTGATGGGCAATGAATATTTTAGCATCAGTTTGTTGTTGGTGCAGGCAGTGACCAGATTCAGGCCTGACTGTGTCCTTCCTTACCCAGCAGATAATCCTGAAGATTACCTTGAGGCTGATAGCAGCACTGCGTGTATATGCTGTTAGCTCCCCAGTTTTGCTGTTCGTGCTTTGGGCAGCAATTCTGTGTCCTGTTGTTTGGATGTCAGGCTGGTGAAGGATAGCACAGTGGAAATGGTCCAGGATTGATGCAGGGCAACCAGGTGCCATTTGCCTCTGTGTAACTGATACTGAGTGGAGTCTGGCTGACTCTGTCAGTGAGCATTTGGGAGTAGCTAAGGTTTGGGAGCTGCTTTTCTGCTTCAGGTCTGGGATTTGTTGGACATGGCTCTGTGCTTTCCTCTGTAAGTGCTTGATTGAGGTTTATCAGCTTGTTGAGAAGAAAATATATATATATTTTTTTTTCCTGTGGAAAAAAAAAACAGGTTTTGCTGTTTGTTGTGTGTTTTGCTGGATTAGTAGGAGGTGCTTAATTGCATCTGCATGCTGGGGCTTGAGTTTCAACCCAGTCTTCACTATGTGAAGAAAGCATTCAATTAATCTCCTCTAATCTTGTATTCGTTGTATTAGTTGCTGGGACTTTTATTAGTACATGCCTGATTTCTGCTTCTTGAAAAATTCTGGAAGGTGGAGGTTTAACTTAGAGCTGGGAAGGAAACTGCTGCCAAAATATTAATTCTATTTAAAAGAACAAAGTGTTGGGTTTTGGTCAACTGTAACTTGCATGAAACCTGTATGTGATGCTGCTCTCGGAGCCTCATGTGGTGCCATTGTGCAGAGACTGCATACATACCCCTTTGTTTTATATTAGCCATTAAGAGTATTTGAGAAGGTGATTGAGTAAAAGTATATCTGCGTCCTTTGGAATAGGAAATGGGCTGTTAAGGTTTGTGGATTTCCTTAATTATTACATGCTAAAATAGCATCACATGTTAATCCTATTTCTTGTGTGTTTCTGACAGTGCTTACAGCAGCAAGGTGTTCCGTGTTACCTTCTTGACTTTGGCTGCGTCTCTGGCTGTGCCCCTGCTTGGAGCAACTGTTCTACTGGATTGTCCTATAGACCCCCAACCCATAAGGTATGTTGTTTCTTTGTTTTAAAGTAGATACACGGAACTGTGACTTTTGCTATGTGTTGTACTACTTTTTGATGAATGAGGCAACTGTGTAAAGTGATTCCCACTGTGTTAGGAAAATGGGGATTGATTGCACTGTAACCCATTGCCAGGGCTTGCTTTGCATACCCAATCTGAGGTACCTTTGCAGTTGTGTCAGCACTGATCAGTGAAGGAGCTGAATTACTTCCTTTGATCATTAATCTCAAAAATGTCTTTGTTTTTTCTTTTTTCTGCTGTCCAAACTGTCAATAGAGCTTGTGCTTACTCACTGAATGCTCCTGCCTTCAGGGAGACATGAACTATATTTTCACCAGGGGACAAGCAGGACAGTTGAACCCAAGCTGTACCCATTTCTGACGAGAGACACTATTCATATGAAGATGTGAACTGAATGGATAACCTGACTGTGTTCAGTGCTTTGTAACAGCTGAACCATATGGCCATGTTATATTTAAATGCACATCTTGTGAAGTAAATGCATGTACTTGATCTGTGTCTTGAACTGTCTGAATTAATATCAAATATGGGATGTAACAGTGAGCCAGCTGCACGAGAGGGTATGACCTGCATTGTGTGTGAAACTGTGCTAGTGTAGTCAGGTGATTTGGTGCTTCTGGCATTTTGAAGTAAGTGAAAATGCTAGCTCTGCTGAAGATTTAGGTTCAACTTGATAATTCTGCAATGAGAAGGAAGAACAACGTTGTGAACATCTCTAGGGTTTAAAGAAACTGTTGATGTGGCAGGGTAGTACTTACAAATCTTGCCAAGAAGCTATTAGACCTAAGCCGCTTGCTTGCAAATCTTAATAAAATGCTTTCTGCTGTGTTGAGTTTAACAAAGCATTCCCTGAAACACGCTGCAACTCAATTCTGGAACCTAGTAGGATTTGTCTTCAGAGCTTTTCCTATTATGTTGTTCTGGTCTATTTCTCATCCAGAATAGTGTTCTGCAACACTATTCTGCATGCTTACATCTCTTTAAGTCCCTTTTGCCAGACTAGGACAACCATTCTTGCCCAAATCAATGACTTGTATTGCTTTAGATTCTTGAAGAGAAGCTAAAAAGCTAATTAAGGTGTGGTTTAGGCCTGTACAATAGGAAGGATAATAATTCTGTGTGGTGTTTCTGAAGTGTTCTGAAACAGCTGAAGTAGATGGATGCTTTTTGGAGCAATGACTTCAGTGGAAGAATGTGTAAAATTTGCATTCATATTACTCTGGTAAACCAGAGGAAATAAGGAGAGTTAAGAGGGCAGGGCGAAGGCAGGTGACATCTGAAATTTCAGGTGAAACATCTGCAGCTGATTTATTCCAAATTCTTTCTCTATGAGTCTGTATTGCAAGATATTGATCCTAGGGGGGATTTTCTACTTGAAAACATAACAGTCCAAAGTTCTTGGCAAGTGAGTGAGTTCCTTATCTGAATCTGCTGTTATCTTAATCTGAAACTCTCTAGCACTTGGAAAAAAGGGGTGGAAAACTATCTTGTCTTAGCGCTATGAAAGCAGCTCTGCTGTAAATCTTGTGTGGACAGGACCTAGTACTCAAATTAGAAAGTTTGCTATCTGTAACCAAACAGATAAAGTGTGCATCTCTCTCTCCTTACATTAT